ACTTCACGAAGTGGATAGAAGCAAAACCTCTTGCCAGAATCTGAGATGTGGACGTCAAGAACTTCATATGGAGAAACATCATCACCAGATTTGGCATTCCAAGAGCAAAAGTTGCTGACAACGGAACGTAGTTTGACAGCAAACTCATCAAGAACTTCTGTGCAAAATTCAAGATAAAGAATTACTTTTCAACACCAAGTTTTTCCCAAAGCAATGGGCATGCAGAAGTATCCAACAAAATAATTTTGGATGGGATAAAGAAGAAGCTGCAAGCAGCAAAAGGAAAGTGGGTGGATGAGTTGCCCAATGTACTCTGGGCATATCGGACTACGTTGAGAAGATCAACAGGGGAAACCCCCTTTGCCATGGCTTACGGGACAGCAGCAGTTATCCCACTGGAGATCAGCATCCTAGGGATCAGAACCCAGGGAGTAGAGAATGAGACTAATGACATACTTCAAGCCCGAGATCTAGATCTCTTAGAAGAAAGAAGAGAGAAAGCTGCAATTCAGCTCGCAGCATACCAGCAGCAGCTTGCTAGAGCTTACAATAAGAAGGTCAATCCAAGAAATTTTCAGGTCGGCGACCTCGTCTTAAGAAAAGTTGTTGGCAACAAGAAGGATCCCAGAGAGGGCAAGCTTGGCCCAAACTGGGAAGAACCCTACAGAATTACTTCGGTATTGGGCAATAGAGCATACTGGCTTGAAGATAATGAGGGCAAAGCATTGCCAAGACCCTGGAACACTTGTAATTTGAAATTTTTCTATCATTAGATGTTCCTTGTTATTTTTTGCCAACGTCATCAATAAAATCCTAGCAGAATTCTCAAAGACTTGTGAATTGATAAAAGATGCATAATGTTGTTTCTAAATAATGAGAACCCAAGTGGAACTCAGGTTGACATTGGGGGCAGAGAGAAGACAAAATTGTTTATCTTCACTTGTTGAAATTTGTAGCAATTTACAAGTTGAAGTTAAGCCGAGATTGTTGTTTATCTTCACTTGTTGAAATTTGTAGCAATTTATAAGTTGAAGTTAAACCGAAGTAATGCTTAACGCTTGTTGAAATTTGTAGCAATTTACAAGTTGAAGTTAAGTCGAGATTGTTGTTTATCTTCACTTGTTGAAATTTGTAGCAAAGTTGAAGTTAAGACGGGATTATTGTTTATCTTCACTTGTTGAAATTTGTAACAATTACAAGTTGAAGTTAAGCCGAGATTATTGTTTATCTTCACTTGTTGAAATTTGTAGCAATTTACATGTTAAGTTAAACCGACATTATTGCTTAACACTTGATTAAAATTTGTGGACAATTTATAAGTTAAGTTAAACCAGTATGATGTTCAACATTTGTTAAAAGTTTACAAGAAGTTTGTCTATCTGAGGTGTGTCACCCCAAGAAGATTGTACAAAGAAAGAAAAGTGTATGAAAGACATGCAGAATATTCTAAGTATAGAATCATGCAGAAGCAATGAAGAGAAGACAAGAGTACAAGCACTTAGAAAAGAAAAGTTGCATTAACATTCATCAAGAAAAGGGCACATCGACCATACAAAGGGCTTATATTGTTCCAAAAGATAAAGAAGAAACAAAATACAACTAAGCAAAAGAAAAACATGAAGCTAAGACTCCTCTCCACCAGTTGGTTGAATTTGAAGATCAGATGATTGTTGAGAAGATATCTCAGCAGTCTTATCCGCCACGACCTCGGCGTCAATTTCTGCAAGAGTGTCTTTAAGGTTTTTATCAGCAAGGATGACATCGGCTGATTCCTTCTCATCAACAGCATCTTTGTTAACCTCATCGCCTTCTTCATCCTGAGTCAAGTCTAGGACTTGCTCATTTTGAAGAGGGGACTTGGCAACATCTTTGACTTTTCTTACCAACACCTCATCCTCTTCCTCATCACCATCCTCAGACTCAGATTCGCCGACGTCTTAACTTGGAGGTTGAGCTGGAGGGAATGGAAAAGAAATGGCATCGGCTTTCCTCAACGGTGAGTCCTCTGGGACATTGAGTTTCTTTAGAAGGGACATCCAACCAAGGGTGAAATCCTTGTTGCATGCCTCCTTCACCTGCTGTTCGCAGGTATCTGTGACGTCGGCCATGCCTTGGGCATATGCCTTCTCGTCGGCATCTTTTTATTTCGGCTTTTTTGGTGGCCAGTGCCTCCTGAAGCTCTTTTTTCGGCTTGAACCATTTTCTCCTCGGCTTCTTTCTTCTGAGACTCAGCCACTTTCCTGATAGCCTCAGCAACCTCAGCCTTCTCTTCGGCATTGGTCTGAGCTTTGATTGCAGCCTCGGCTTGGTCCTCCAATTTTTTCATCTTTGATTGAAAACCTTTGCTGGTCTTTTGGAGGGAAGAGAACTCCCTCTTCATCTCGATAAGCCTCTCTCGATTCTCAAAAGACTGCATTGAGAAAGAGTGGGCATGCTGGATGGCCTGAAACAAAATAGAGGTATTAGAGAATATTCAAAGTACGAAATAAAAAGAAAGAAGAACATTACCAAATAGAAGACATCTACCTGAACGAAGTGCTGAAGCATTAGAGCGTAATTCTCATACTCACTGTACTGGGCGTTTCGCTTCAAATCGCCTGGTAACAGCAGAGCAGTGCTGAGCGCAACGCCGACGTTAATATCCTCGGCACTGTCACTTGCCATAACAGGCTTATTTTCCAGAGTAATTGAGGGGGCCCAGGGGGCATCAGGTTTTTTTGATCCCTAGGTTGTTGCAGAAGAAGACCTCGGCTTTTTTGGGTTTTAGGATTCTGATGGTTGAGACTCAGAGCGTCTCTTCCCAGCAGAAGGCTGAGATTTATCACTCTCAGCCAACTTTGAGATCGGCAAGGTGTCTTCAGATTCAACCTGAGCTATCTTAGCCTTTGGTTGAGCCTTCTTTATTCTTTTCAGCTTCGATGGAGGTTGGGTTTGTGTTAGTTGATCATCAACAGATGATGAAATGCTGGCTAAGAGGTCTTTTGCAACTGGTTTTGGACAACCCATCTCGGCAGTAAGGACGAGTCGTTGCCGACGTTTTCGTTCTGATATTGGGACCAGGTATGGAGCTGAAGTTGATGGCTGATCAGCTGGATCGGATGTTGATCCTTGATCTGTTCGTGATGTGGATGCGGTCTGTGGAGTTGTGGCAGAAGGTGGAGAGAGGCTTTTCTTCTTCCTCTTAGGGACGTCGGGCAAGGCTGACTTATAAGTTGGGATAAAGTTGAGGAGCAAAGGTGCCTTTCGTTTGTGAATCGGCAAGTTCAGAAGTTTTTTCAAATCCTTGCTGGGATAGAAGGATTAGAGAAAATTCTTTGGTGGCTAAGGAAGAACTACAAAGATAAAAACAGTACAGACATTAGAACAAGAATATTGAACGATTTATGCAAGAAGATAAAAAGAAACTTATGAAGGGTGGCCCTTACCAGCTCATTCTCCCAAAACAGTTCAGCTTAAAGGATAAAGATGGAGGTCGTCGTTTGGCTGAAACTCCCAATTGCTCGAGATAATGAAATAGTCATCTCCAGCCCCTTTGTTAGAGTCTGGGAGGTTGGCTACGATTTTAAATTCTGTAGACCTCGGCTTAAGGTAATAAATGTAGCATTTTTCTTTCAAATTAAGGGCACACATGGTATAGCAGTACTGGATATCGGCTAGGGTAATCCTAGCATTTTCCTGTTTAGCTAAGGCTATGATGCCATTGATCACTCGGTAGGAATTGATTGCCATTTGCATGGGGTTCAACTTATAATAGTGAAGAATCTCACAAATCGAATCTTGAATCAATTGTAAATCGTTTTATTCATTATAGATTCTATCACAAAAAAAATTCATCCATAGATTTGTATCAATTTATGATAAATCTCAAATTAAATCATGAATCAAAAGATTCTGATAATAGAGCTCTTGGTCTTATGGCTTGGTGGCTAGAGGCAACAAGTTCGTCTTTGACACTCCATTCTATATAGGTCAACTTGCCTTTGGCCAATTAAATTGTGTGCGTGTGTGTGCACGCGCACCTGTGTGTGTGTGTGTGTGTGTGTGTGTGTGTGTGTGTGTGAGAGAGAGAGAGAGAGAGGACTCCTTGGTTCAGCCTAGAACCTTCTATAAGCTAGATTCCTTTGCCTAGAAAGCAAGGTTTCCCATGAAAGGCAACAGATGGGGAACAACCTAACGGCTTCCCGTAACTATGGACTAGTTATTCAAGCATGCAACTACATGCATATGCTCACTTTTATAATAAAAGATTGTTCCCCTGCTACATCACATCACTCTTGAGCCTTCCCATATGCTTGGTCATTGAAAATACAACGAGACTCAATACTTTCCTCTGGCTCTCTCTATGGCTAAGTTGCTTTGTCTCTCGCATAGTCTCCCCATAGTCTCAATACTTTCCTCTAGCTCTCTCTCTGGCTAAGTTGCTTTGTCTCTCGCACAGTCTCCCCATAGTCTCTAGTGCCTCTTACATGTTTTGCAACCTCTCCATCGAACCCTTACCGTTCTCTCTACAACACCCAACAGTTTGTGACTAAAAAAAAGTTAAAAAAACAAAAACACACTTTTCATTTATCTTTCATGAATATGATGCCTTTATATCAAATGATCAACTCTTACAAGAAAATGTCAAGTGAACTTGGATACCCAAATGCCATGCAAGCAGAACAAAATGAATTAATGAGGTCCCATGCTTGTGGCAAGAGGAAAACAACATGAATAAGCACACGAAGTACTTCTAAAATAACTTGCTTACGCAAATATCCCATCTTTCACCTGGAAAGCAAGTATCGAGCTATTATAGTAACAGAATATTTTAAAAGAAAAATAAACACAAAATAAAGAAAGAAGGGAAAAGGAAGCACTTTTTCTATCTTTTTTTTTTTTTTTGTACAAGTTGCAGTGAAAGATATGGGAATTCTCTAGAAATTAGAGCACAGTTTGGTCCAGAACATAAATACAATAAGTCAAACTGTAGCATATGGGAGAATAATCAAAGAAGTCTAAAAGAAGCACAAGCATTATAAAGTAAATACCTCAGGTGAACCAGGAGCAATTCCAATCAAAACCAACCATTTTTCCGTGGGATCACATCGATAGTTAATTATCTGATTGTTGGATAAATTAGCTGTTCTATCAAACATCTTTACTGGTTCAGAATCACCTACAGAGAAGATAGAGAATCAACCATTTTAAACAAAAAAAATTACAATATATCTTGTGGATATATACACAGACAAAAATAAGATATCATAAATAGTGTAAAGAGGCATTGGTTGTTCAGGTAAGAGAATGGTATCTTACCTTCAATGGACCAGTGATATACAGAGGTCTGTGTGACTAGACCCAACATCTTTGGGGTAATCCATTTCCAAAAAGCAACCTATATACATAGCACAGAAGCTTAATTGAGGAACCTTACTATTTCAATTACAAAATGCAGTGAAGACTTTCGAGGACAAAATAAAGTAGTTACCTGCTCAGGCATCTGATGTGATTTCATTTTTGCCTTCATCTCAATGTTAAATATTTGTAAGTGATCCTGAGTAGTTCCGGGAAGTTGAGCTTCAAAAGAATGAAACCGCATCATAAGCTAAAAAAAAATATAGAAGCTGGACTTAGTCAGTGTAACAAAGACTAGTGCAATTATAAAATGGCCCCATAAAGCCTCCGTTTTTTTCCTCCAAATAAGTGCCAACATTGAGATGATTCAGTGGTGTACCATTATTTATCTAGAAGATGTTATTACATCCTCCCCTGTAAACTTATATAAAACTCAAACCGGCAATTCCAAATAAACATGTATCACATCACATTCAGATCACGTGTCCAATAAAACTAGTGCACCAACATCGCCGGTGTCATCAATGACTTCATAACCAGTAGAGAAACTACTCCAATAGCCAATGGAGCACACCATTCCGCATTACAAGACGAGTTGGAGAAGACTACATTGGTGATGCTTATATTACTAATTACACCCCATATGAACAAACTGAATTACAAACATTCATTCGGCTGTAACACTCTTATAGGAAAAATTAAGATATAAGAGAAGACCAAAAAATAAGACTTCGTGATTTGGTAATTTTATGCTAACACTCGTAGGGATTACCAAAAATTTTGAAATGTATCAAATGAGCAACAACATAATAATACCTTTGAGGGCCAGAATTCTGGAATTGGGATTCATAAGGGCCGAGTCTGCAGTGATAGGTCTCCTCAAGGGCTGCATTGGCATATTCATATCAACAATTACGACACTGTTCTGAGGTGATGTCTCCCGAACGCATATATACTTATCGGATTCCATGGTAACATGAGTGAACGTGATGAACTGTGGATTTATCCCTATGCTAGACAACTGCATCAACACAGAACACAACAAAGACCATCACGTTCTCAATACCAAACAACTCAGCACAGATAAATTGGAAATTGATTCGAAGATTTACATTGTAGATCTGCAAACAAGCTAAAGAAAACAGATCTAAACAAAAGTTCAACGCATACTAAGCAACGCAAACACTAAAAAACTAACAAAAACAGAACCAATTTTTACATCGAAAATAAGATAATTCAGAGAACAACGAAGCTCGAACCAGACACAACAATCAGTTCGAAACACAACCGTTTGTCTCTCAATTCAGCAAAGAATTCGAAGTTAAAGAAGTGGAATATGAAATTTACCGTGAGGGCCTCCCTCATGCTGATCGGAGCATTAGCGGCCGCCATGGTGGCGAGATCGAACTCCGAGATCAGAACTCGGATCTACGAGAGAGAAACCGATTGAGAGATTTGAATCGCTGAGATCTGAGACAGCGAAGCAAACCTTGAACCCACTCCGGGAAATAGAGAGAGAAAGTGAGAGATCTAGAGAGAGAAAGACCGATGGAGGAGAGACTAATGATACATGTATGGAAGTGAAAATGCAATCGACTAGAAATAATAATAAAATATCCCAAAGAAGGTTAAGGAAGGACTAGTGTTAAAAAAATGCCTCGGTGCGCTCTGCGCACTAGAGAAAAAGTTATACAATAGTCGAGTATTACGTGTAGGGGTGTGCATAATATCGCCGAAACCGCCGAAACCGCCAAAACCGCACCGAACCGCACCGCCAAGGCAAATTCGTTATTATTTGCCAATCGAACCGCCGGTTTTTGGTAAGAAAAATGGCAAATTCTAGTGACACTTTTATCAATCCGCCGGTTTCTATTTTTCTTCCAAACCGCACCGACCCGCGCCGCTATTAAATCATGTTTTATAAGATTCTAAAAATTCTTTTTTACTGAAGTTTGCTTGTTGTTCTATACCTTAGAATATAGTGTTACATTACTGCTCGAGGGGAATTTTATGTATTGTATTTGATCATTGTAACTTCCGCAGATGCTTGTAATGAACTGATGGCATAGTCGTTGATATTATCATGTTGTTGTTACACTTGCTGCATCAGAAGAAAATTTCGCAAGATGCTTAACATCATGGTATCTCTCTTCTTTTTTTTACTCTTTGATTTAAGTTTTGTAATTTGAATTATATTTTTTATAAACCGCCAATCCGCCCTAACCGCCAAGGCAAATCCGCCATTATTTGCCAACCGAACCGCCGGTTTTTGATAAGGAAAATGACAAATTCTAGTGATACTTTTATCAATCCGCCACTAAATATATTAATTTTTTTCACTTTATATTTTAATCAAACAATCACTTCTCAAACCCACACTGAGTTGTTACTAGGGGTGTGCATAATATCGTCGAAACCGCCAAAACCGCACCGAACCGCACCGCCAAGGCAAATTCGTTATTGGCCATAATATTCAGTATAGTGTCGTCACATATAGCAAGAAGGATTTGTTTTTTTTAATTTGAATGATATTTTTGCCTAGCTCTTCAATTAGCTGAATCAATTGGACTAGCATAGTTCAAATTAAAAAAAGGTAATGTGTTTAAAAAATTCTTTAAAAACTTAGTATTTTTTTGTGAGTAAAAAGATTAATATGAAGAAAAATAATTAATTGATGATAAATAATTTTGAGAAATGTTTTATAGCTCGAAACCCCTTTGGCCCCGAATGGCTCGATTGCCCAAAACGATTTTTTTTTTTTTTTTCCTTTTTTCCTTTCTTCCCTCTCTGTTTTTTCTCTGAAACAAATAGAAGAAGAAGAAGAAGAAGAAGAAGAAAAGGAGAAAAGAAGGAGAAGGAGAAGATCTGGACTTCAATGGGTCTCTTTGGATATGGACTTCAATGGCTTGTTATTCGGAACATCATTGCCTTGCCTTATTTTGTGGTTAGTTGCTCTCTCTCTCTCTTTGATTTGAACTTACAGACTTTGTGGTTGTGCTATGATTTTTCAGATTTGAAAGCAAAGAGATAGTTGATTTGAGATACCGAAATGGGAAGATTTTCAATACCCATCATGATTGGGTTTGTGGTGGTGTTTTTAAGCTTGTGGGTTAGTATTACAGAAGAAGCAGAGTATATGAAATACAAAGACCCAAAACAACCATTGAATGTTAGAATCAATGACCTAATGAAAAGAATGATGGTGGAGGAGAAGATTGGGTAGATGGTGCAAATTTAGCGCAAGGTTGCATCATCTGATGAATTTGTGGGTAGGGTAGGGTTTGGTTTGGTTTGGTTTGGGACTTTTGAAGCTTAATTTTGGATAATTTTTAACTTATTTTACATATATTTAATTTTATTTGAGTCTGTATGTATGTATGTATATATGTATGTGATGAGAGGGAGAGAAGATGAAGAAGATTGAAGACAGTGATGAGAGAGAGACTGAGAGAGAGAGAGAACAGAGGAAGAAGAAGAAGAAGAAGAAGAAGAAGAAGAAGAAGGACACTGATGAGAGAGAGAGAGAGAGAGAGAATAGAGGGGGAAGAGAAAGAGTACAACAACAGAATTTGAGTGAAAAAAAAAAAATTTGGACCACTCGAGCTAATGAGGATTTGAGCTGTGTAGCGGAGCTGAATAATTTTTTTAATAAAAAAATTTACCTTTTAAATTTGATTTGACTTTCACTTGTCCCCCGATGTTATGAATTAATAATGCTTGGGCCATAAACACTAGGTTACATAAAGTATACTGTATGGCCCAAATTAATACCTCAAATATTTTACTATGTATTTTTTAAAAATATGTTTTGTAATTAGGAGATATTTATATACGTATAACACCTCAATTGTTTTGGCAGAACACATTTTTTTTAAAATATTTTTTGACATTTCGTATTATTGTGGCAGAATTATTTTTATTTTTTTGTTTTAAGACTAAAATTTTATTAATTTTACTACAATACCATCACTTCCACCACCATCACCGTCGCCGCCACCTCCACCACCACCCCAACATCACCACTTTCACCTCCACCCCATCGTAGTGCCACAGCCACCACCACTAATACATATATAGGAAAACATTTTTTGATGGGAACAAAAAAAAAAAAAAAATCGTTAAAACAAACAGAGCATAAAATTAATGGTTAATTTTTTTATTTTGTTTGTTTGTTTGTTTGTTTTTTTTTTTATGCTAGTAATTACAGATAGTGGTGAAACGCAAACACTGCCAAAAAAAAAAAACCCTGTATTTTAGGCTGTAGTAGAGCAATAACAAACATGTCACATTCTTTCATTAGGTGTGTACCCCATGCTCATAAACATATTGAGATGCATCATGTGGACCATGTTTTTCCACATCCTTGCCAAATGTTATGAGTTAATGTATTGGAATTTCTTGTCCTCCTATTCAATCCTTGAATCAAATAAATGACAAACAAGTTGCAACAAGTTCAAACTCAACCCTATGCTTATCTACACTAGTATGTTTTTTATCTTTTTCTTTTTTTATTTTATTTAAAAAAACTATAATATTTTACAAATATCAAGATAATAATAGTAAAACTCAACAATCAACTACTTAAGAAAGTTTAGCAATACATATGTGCAAGTCCAATATCAACAAACACTAAAAATTAATAATACATATTCATAAGCTCAACACCAACACACTACATCCATAGAAAAAAGTCCAACAATATATATTCGCAAGAGTTTGGATTTGCTAAAGTTAAAAATCTCAATTTTATAAATGAAGTTGGCACATCATGTGACTAATATGTTACATGTCAACAATCTGAACTGTTCATCTTACATGACAAGTTAAGAAGAATATAAATACAAAAAATTAAGTTGATTAGACATAAGTAATCACATGATTAAATCACATATATATTATAACAAATGGCCAGTTTACTCTTAAAAATATATAGGCCGTATAAATTAAGGCAGTGGCTTTGGTCCAGTTCAAGATCGGACTGGACCGTGCTGTTGGGCCCGTGGGGGCCCACCACGGGTCCCATTTTGATAATCCGAATCGTTCAATATGTAGAACTCGTCGAGTACTATATGCTTGTAAAAAATCACGTTGATTAGATATCGATAGCTATGTGAACAAAACAGTTTTTTATCAACTGTTAATTTTTTCACCGTCCATTTTTTTTTATACAAAACTGACTTGATCACATAGCTATTGATATCCGATCAACGTGATTTTTTACAGGCATGTAGTACTCGACGAGTTCTACATATTGAACGGTTCGGATTATCAAAACGGGCCCAAAAAAATGGCCCCATGGGCCGAACTGGACGGGTCCAGTCTTCATCTCAACTTGAGAGAAGCTGGACCCTAAATTAAAATGATCTAATTGTATGACAATTGATATTAAATGCATTTGATTTTTTGTATAGATAATTTTCCCAATTAATTGTATAAGATGAATGGTTTAGATTACTGAAGATCCCATAACAAATCACTCCGATTATGAGTTAATTTTACCAAGAAGTTGAGATTTTCAACTTTAAAAATCTGAGCTAATAAAGATCTCTATAACAGGAAAAAAAAAAATTAAATAGATCCGAAAAGGGAAAAATAATCAGTCCCTATCACCCCTAACCTCCAAGGTCATGTTTGATTCACAAGATTAATAGTGAAGTATTAATAATCCTATTAAATTAGTGTGGTATTCACTATCCAATTGGATTAATATCCATTGGATTAATAATCCCACCCCTACCCCATTACTAATAATCCTACAAATTTGTTGGATTAATTATCCATTGGATTGATAATCCTAAATCAAAATGTTAAAATAAACATAGGATAATTGGGCCTACGGATTAATAATCCCAATCCCATGCTCTAATCCACTCAATCAAACATGCTCCAAATGGAGAATGCATAAAAATAGGTGATTGAGCTAGCTCAATTAGTTCAACAATAAGACTATTTTGGGATATTATAAAATGCAAATTATAATCACCCACTTTTATCCTACTATAGTTGGCTACCGGAAGTCTTCCATTTTAGCATATGATCAGAAATGAAATATGTGACTAAAACCTCGACACATCTCTACTTCTTCCTGTTCATTCTCTCCTCTCCATTTTTAATTTCTTCCCTAAAAACATATGCAAAATCCATGATTGAAACTTGCCAAAATTCTTCAAATTCATGTCCTTTTCTCCTCTTTTACCGGTTTCCATGGGCCTCGAAGCTCTCCGATGTGGCATACCTTTTCCAAGTTAACATTTTTGATATCTTAGCCTTCAACAACATTGACTCCACAAAACCATGGTCCTCTAACCAAATTCTCCCTCATAAATCTCTTCTCAAAATACCCATTACGTGCTCGTGCGTAGACGGGTTAAGACGGTCAGTATTGACCGTCTACACCGTCCACTCAACAGACACTTGGGATTCTGTATCCCAAAGCTATGGCGATCTTGTTAGTGGAAAGAAGTTAATGAGTGTTAATGGTGGTGGTGGGATTGGGGAGATGATGGTGGTTTTGTTGCCGTGTTCACGTTTTGACAACCGTAATGGTGGTTGTCACGACCCAAACTCGTCTCTATAGGTTTAGCATCGTAACCGGCCAATAATCCTTGGA